TTTTTGCAATAAACTTATCGATTTCAAGAACAAAATCGATTATTTTAATGGGGTCATACACGATTTTTTTTTTATTATATTTTCTGAAAGTTTATATAAAAATATAGTTACCGTTATTTTTTTTTTTAATATTTTCGAACAAAGTCATTGTTAAAAAAATTATTGAAAATTTATATACCCATTTGCGCTTTTAAAATTCCCGCGTTGATGACGTACGATTCTCACTTTTGCGTCCCCTGCTCCCCGCTCAAATGCGAGAAAGAGATGAACGTCATTTAGGTTGTATTGAAAAGAGATAGAGTGTTTGTAGGTTATGTTTATTATGTTTTGTTCATGGATGTAATAGAGACACTGTATTACATCCATGGTTTTATTTTGACACTGTCACACCGCAAGCGCTATCTAACGGACAATTTAACTTGTTTTAGGCAGTGCGGTTCCTACGTCACAGAAAAGCCGCGAAATTATTTCGTTTGAATATTTGTTATTTTTCACTTCAAATTACGCAAAATATAAAATTGATCAAAATATTTCTTTTACTTTGTGTTCATGCATATACTTGCATATATCGTTTGACATAAAAATTTTCTCTCAATTTAATAAGTGTGTATGACCCCATTCTTCAAATTACATCAAGTAAAGTTTTACTTCATTTTTCACCTATAAAACTTCTTGCTTTCATTGGTAATTATTAGTGATATAACAGTTTAACTACACTAAACCAACTTTTTTTAATGCTGTAACTGTAGAGTTAAAGCATTAAATAAGTTTTGCTAGATTGACTAAATAAGATAGAATTTACCAGAAATTTCACTTATTTGATAAAGAATAATTAATTAAACATATTAGAAAAAAAAACGAATAAATTAAAATTTGTTATTGTTTATTGCAAGCGGGGCATAAAGCTCAAAAAAATATTTTGTATACTTGGACAGCATACAGACGATATGTAAATAGAACTTAAATATTACATTCACATTAAGCGAGATACACATAACAAGTCGATGCTAGAAGAAACAAAAAAATAATAAAAATGATCACATCACAATGTAATTAATAACTCTTACGACATAGGACGAAGATAATGTTTTTTATGCAACCAGAGCACCGTTCAATTCCATTATTCAGGATTTAATCCGATATGTACAAATTATGTCGCTCGTTATTAACAGGTGATCCAAATATAAGTTTCCAAACTAACTATGTAAACAAACTAATTTAAAATCCAAAATAAAGAATATACCTTCTCAAACAATGGTCATTCAAGGTATTTATTATTGAAATGACAAAAAACAAACAAAGAAAAGAGTATATTTTCTTTTATAAATTAAGAAGAGAATACATTAATTTTAAACTTTAGATTTAATGACCATTTTTTAGGGTATAATTAAACAATTGGAAAAAGTGTGATTATATTTTTTAAGAACAAATATTATGAAAAACTTGAAAATAACAATTACAAAAAGTCTTAGTTTGGGAACTCACTTTTGCATCCTAATGTAAAATTTGTAATTTCCTGCTTTTTCTTTTTGATCAGCTGACGTCTCTCTCTCTCTCTCTATTTTTATTCTCTCTACACATATCTATATGCATACAGTTTTAAAAATATATAAGTATCCGATACAATATAATTTCATCTATACAAAAAATAACTAATCGACAGTTAAATACTTGGTAGGAAGATGCTTTGAACTTAATATAAATAAAAAAACTATATAATATATTTATATATAAATAATTAATTAATAATCTTTATGTATTATATAAAAGGGTAAGGGAGAAATGCACGTAAATGAATACACATTTTTCTTTTTATAACAGCCCATCTTCATTATCATCATCATTATTATTATTATCATCGCATCACTAGCCGTTCACGACATCTTTCCCGTTTTTATTTGGAAAACGGTAAGAGGCGATTCGACTTGAAGTTAAGCGGCCACAAGATCTACCCTAAACACAAAATTTAAGAAGGTAGATACACTGCGAGGTTCGTCCTACACGAAATAAACGACACGACAATATTTGTCATTGTAAACGTATTTACATAAATTTATGAAACATAAATAAGTTTTCTCCTTTCATTATAGTCTGATTTAAATTGTTGCCAAAATGATAAGGCGTACTGAAAAAATATTTATCAATAATGATTGGATGATTGAGACTTCATTTTTGAGATATTATAAACGATAAGTTTTTGAAAAGGATTATATTTTAGTATATCATGAAATAAAGAGGGATTTTTATACAAATTAATACCTAAAAAATGGAAATTATTTTCTTACATGAAATGTCAGTTTAGCAACCTACAATTAAACCATTCTATACACGTAATGATAACATTCATCTTAATAAAACAATCTTTACTATCACAAATTTTATACTTTATATCTTCTTTTTTTATTTTGTAAATAAATCCCAATGAATATCACTTTACACGTTTATAACGTCCCGACAAATATCATCAGCGTCGGTAAGTACCAAACAAAAAAATTCCATTAAATTTCTTTTTCTTATAAAAATAGTGACGAGTATTCATTTATCAATTAACTTAACTTCGATTTAGAGAAAATTTAAAAGGAATTTTTCACTGGACTAGGCACGTTGTTGTTTCTTGCTCGATTTAATTACCATATCTTCGCAAACGATTTAATCAGATACTATTAAAGTTTCCTTTAAAGCCATGAGTTGTTCTTCCCCCAATTTAATTTTATCCGCAATATCTTTCGAATCCATTATTAATTTTGCTTTCATATTAATGAAATGATCGTAATCCGCATATTCTTCTGAATTAAGATATTTGTAAAGAATGTTTGATACGCTCACACTTCTTTTATCGATACTCTCTTTTAATTTTTTTGCTTCTTCTAGCTGATCCAGTAATTTATCACGTTTCGTTTCTAATATCCTCTGTAACGAAAATAAAGAAAAATATTAACAGAAAAGTAGTAGAGAAAAATGACATTAGAGCGATATAACGGAAATTCTTTCTGATCAACCTTTGTATTTAAAATTTTTAAAGGTAAACATTCTGTTAATTATTCAGTTATTCTACATACAGGGTTTCTGAATTAAAAACAATTAAATGCAGTCTTATTATGGCAAATAAAATATTAAACAAGTTTTGTATAAAATGTTTTTTTATAAAGTTGATACCTACCAAGATATATACTATATTTCATACATAATGGGCACCCTGTATAATTCAACTATTTAATAATTTTAAGTCATAGATTGACTTGTATTGTCAATTATAATAGTTATTATATTAAAAACTATTTCTTTGCTAGCCAATTAAACATAAATACCGCCCCGTATTTTTAACCTGCGTGAAAATAAATTGCGGGTTAATTTCTAAATGTTCAAATCATTCTAGGACTACATTTTTTCTATCTTGAGCGAAGTGTGAAGAAAATGCTCACATTAGGATGTCCATTCAGGGAAACTAGCCTAAACCGGATATGTAGTGCCACAGAATTACCAAAAGTGTCATTTTCCCAGTTCTTACTGTTGTAGGATGGATTTACACATATTCCACGTAGGAGTGCAAGTATCAATTAATACTGGGATAGCCAACCAAATCGGTTGACTATTTACTTCTACCCTATTACACGTAGGGTTCTATGTTAGACCACTATCTCACAAGAAAAAGTGAACGAACAGAAAAAGTACGACTTTATAATACGTTTGTTCGTGGTAGCGAATAAAGTTTCTAACATAGTTTCGAACATAGTATATATTAGAAATATAATAATAATTTGCCTTTGAATTAAGTTTGACAGTGTTGGGCGAACAAGCCTACTTTTATGTATGCAAATGATTCTAAATACAATCTTTTCATGAGCACTTTCCATTCGACCTTGCTGCCTTTAAAACGTCATTTATTTTTTAAATAAAAACGTATAATTCCCGACAGTTTAAGTCAAGAGATCAGTTCAACTGACATTCAGGGCCACACTAAGGGTTGGTAGGTCCTGTGTACAAAACTTTTAACGGCATCTGTGAAAAATTTTGTTGTGGTAACATTAAAAAATCTAATGAGGTAATCTTAGAAACCTATTGAAAAATATTAGGTAATAATTATTTAGGTATGTAATAAGTAATAAGCCATGAAAGTGTTTGTTTACGGATGCAGTAAGGCGTTTTTTTTTTGTTTTTCTTTTTTTTTATTGTTTTTGGCACCACGGCGCCCCGAATCTTTTGGCACCTATGTGCGCCGCACAGATTGTACACGTGGATGGCGCGGCCCTGCTGACGTTAAAGAAGATTCTTTCCACAATTATGTTTTACTTACAAAGATAAAATACTTCCAACAAGTATTGTTTATTAAAGATGCTCACTTTCATATGAAATCCACTACCCACTAAAATTCAAACTACAATTTTGAAACTTCGGTAAAATAATGCTTTATAAAAACTCAACTGTTATGTTTTCTGTACCATTGTAATCCAACTTTCAATATTTTCTTCCTAGCAATTAATGAATTTCTGCCCACAAAATGTTAGTTTATTTGATTGTCAAACTGTCAAATAGACGCCTTGCTCCCAGTGCGACATCGTCGAAATTTTGGCCATATCAATGACTTTAATATATTATCAGTATGAAAGAGGCGAGTCTCTCATTCCAAGAGATTTGAAGAATCGGGCTGAATCGGGACCACACTACAGTTGCTCGGATATGGTCTTTATGATCCGAAGATGGGTTCATCAATGGAATGACATCGTCTTCAGTGATGAATCAAGGTTTTGTTTATAAATGATGGTCGTAGAAGGGTGCGGCGACATCGAGGGGAAAGACGGAATTTGGAGTTCGTTCAAAGACGACACACAGCCTTAAGCCCAGGTGTTATGGTTTGGGGGGGCGATATGTGCTGGACGAACATCGACAACGTTCTAGAACCGGTGTTAGTACCTTTCATGCAGACGTTGCAGAATACTGCAACTTATAACCCATACTGCTGTGGTTATAAGAAGGTTCCTGAAGCAGGTTGGATTACAGATTTTGCCCTGGCCTGCACGGTCACCGGATTTATCGCCGATTGAACATGTCTGCGATATGATGGGTCAGCGACTAACACAAATATCTACCCAGGCCTCCTAAGAATCTGTATGAACTTCGATAATGCATGCATAGCTGCGCGTGGGGATGCAACCCACTACTAGCTTTTTCTTGAAAAATGTTAATTCGTTTCTTAGTTGATAATAAAGCATTATTTTACCGAAATTTCAAAATTGTAGTCTAATTATTAATGGGTGGTGTATTTCATGTGAAAGTGAGTGTACATTTTTGGACAAAAAATTTAAACCAAGCAGTCAATATAGCATAAAAACAAAATAGAAAAGATAGTCTTGGCGAGTATACATAGATTGGGTCAGGCACTATGTACCTATATTGCAGAGGGACGGTACGAGACAGCGTAATATCATTAACAATAATAAACTTTCGAATAAGTACGATGAAAAAATTATTTATTAAATGATATTGGTGCTACATATGTTTCGAGAAAATATCTCGTCTTCAGGCACGACTGTATTGAAAAAACATTCATTAGTAAGCTAAACAAAAACTAATCAAAATAATTACCGTCAGAAATTTAGCAAAGAAAGTCACTATCCAGTCTCCTGGATCTCGACAATATCATCAGTAATTAGTCACAATTATTTAAAAAAGGGGGGGAAGCTATTCAGAGCTGTAAATAAAATAAAATAATATAAATGGAGAAACACAACTAAAATGAACCAGAACAAATATGGCGTGAACTTACATGTTTCTTTGAAAATATTGTAGAGATCAAGACACTAAACAATTAAAATTCAAAAATACACTATAATAAAACTACGTTGTTCAAAAAAAGAAAGCGAAATATCAGGTATCTACCTGGTTAAATTTAGCAATATTAAAAATTCTTGACCAACTTGATTAAAGTTCCAGTGACACTAAAAGTGACTAAGAAATTCGCTAATATGTTGTAGTCTCTGGGACTAAAATACGTCGATGAAAATAGACATCTCTGTAGGGTTGTTAGAACTAGTGGGTCATGTAAAGCTAGTGTAAAAGCTCTTTTCTTTCGCTACTTTTGGAGAATTTATTTTGTCGAACCAAATAAACATACACAACTGCATACTTTTCACCACATATTTATTCACATTTTGAGCACACCCTACAATTTTTGCAGTCCGAAATGGTTGCTGATTGCTAAACTACAACTTATTTTCAAAAATAGTGTTTTGTGATGAGTGTGATGACCACGATTGCAAGATTCAAGTTATCAGAAATAAAAAACCAAACGGCATTGCAATCTGTAAAGTATGAAGTAGTTTTTGAACTAGCAGAATTAAAAGAGGCAAAGTTTGGGCATCATGTTGAGTATTTTTTTTTGAATACTGGTGGTTTTACAACTTCCTTACCATGAAAATAAAAAACAGCTTGACGAATCAGAATGATCTCAGTTTGCAAACTGCCTAAATGAGTACAGAATAAATCAGTATACTTATACCGATCTATATACAGATTTTAACTCAAATTATCTGTTATCACAGCTTTTACCATACATTATTTTAAGAAATACTCTTAACAAATTCTTTTAGAAAATGAAATTTTTTTTCTTTATAGTGTTTTATTTACTTAAATCAAGAATGGCAAATCTTGGATAAAAATTATTTTATAGTATTTAATAAATTTGTTTTTAAACAATGCAATTTTTTACCTTTTCAGGGTTATCTTCACACATTCCTATTAGAGCGTTTTCAACTCGAGCTAACCTTCCAGACAATCCAAGAAGAAGACTAGTGATTTTTCCAACTTCCTCAATGTGTAAACGAAACTTAGCCGTTTCAGTGGTTCTTGCAACTTTGGCAATATGGTCTTCAACGTTCTGTCCTAATTCGTCGTTTATTCGACACTCCTCTGATACCACCAATTGTTCTCCTCGAAGTACTTCTAATTTTCTATCCAATCTGTTCACTAGTTCATCCTTTGAAAAGTTATAGATTATTAATTAATAAAATTTCCTATCGGTTATTTTTAAAAGTATCTACAGATTTTTACTATTATCTAAAAATTAAATAATATTTCAGAAGTTATTTTCTTAATTAGTTACCTTTTTTCTATTGAGATCTTTGGTATTTTTGATCGTATAATGATTCATATCCTGGCTATACCTCGTCAGGAATTTTGCTTTTGGTTCTGAAGTTGTAAAATATGGTGAGGTCGCTGGCAATGGACTTGTGGGTTCTAAACTGCTGATTATTGAAATTGTATCACTAAAATTAAAAAGAAAATTATAATATGCCTTACAGTTTTGATTAAGTTTGCATACCTTGATGTCATTGATGTTGAACTTGATGGACCAGAATTACATGTAGGAGGCGGAGTACTGCTTGGAGTGTGATTTCTACTTCGAAAAGGAGCATTTATTGGTCTTGGTTTTAAGGTAACATCAACCCTAAATAATCCCGTAACATAATCTGTAATTTTTTTATGTTCAGGAGCTGGAACTTAAAAAATATTGTTAATTTCGTCGCCCTAAATTCAAAGAATTTTTCATCAAGGTACGAACTGTTCAAAAGCTTACCAAGTAAATCCTTTAATTTATCAGTAACTGGTAACTGATTAACAAAATCCTGCGATAATTTTTCACAATCAATTTCTTCTTGGAGTTTTCTCCTGGTCGGCAACGGCGTCGGTGGTAGTTCCTCTTTTTCCGTTTGTGATGAAGCATCGATCGTTGTCGTGTTCACCCTTAAAACAACTTCCGTCCTTTGTATCATTTGCAAACCTTCGATCACCTTTGATGTAATAATTTCTTTAGGAGTTTCAGGTGATGATGGTGCTATTGATAAATTTTTTGGTGATGGTGGCGGGGAAGAAGATAACACTTTTGGTGATGATGGTGGTGATGATTCCGGCGAAGTTTTTAACGGAGTATTTGCCATAAAAGCCATTGACGGAGAAAAACTTTTTATCGGAATCATTTTATTCGACAAATTTGGCGATAAAGTTGGTTTAATTTCAGGGACTACTTTTGGTGTTGGTGAAAACCTGCCCGGAAGAGACATTGATTGGGACGAAACAGATGAAAAAGAAGAATTTGGGGACGTTGAAGGGGATATTCTTTGGACGTTGGAAGTTCGAATTTCTTGATGAAACGAAGCTCTTTGCATTGTTTTAGTTTCATTTCTTTGGAGACATAAAGAATTTGATCTTATTTCTGCTGTTGATTCTTTTCCAGGGTAAACTCTTAAAGGTGACGAGTATTGCGGAGTTGATGAAATTGGAGATGAACTTCCTTGTGGAGATGATAATCGTAAGGATGGAGTTCTTAAAGGCGAATTTGAAAGATTTGTACTTCTTAGTGGTGCATAAGGGGAATTTCTTGAAGGACTTTTCGGCGGAGAATTTGTTGGAGGTGGTGGTGATTTCGGAGGACTCTTCGCTGGTTGATAATTATTATCGAGAGGTGATAGACTTAAATTGGAAGGTCTAAACTCTCTAGTGATGTGATGATGATGTTGAGATCTGGGAGAAAGTATTTTGGCGTTTATTGGCAGTACATCAGGTAAAACCAACGGTTGTTGCTGAGTTTTTTTCAAGTCTTCCTTTATATCGCCGCCATTTTTCGCAGCCGGCTCGCACATCGATGGTCTTCTCATAATATTTCCATTATTATTATTATTGTTCGTATATTGTTCTTTATTCTTTAACGTCGACCAAGGTTCACGTGATGATAATTTCGATGTTTCTTGTGTTGTTGTTGTATCATTAGCGGTAATGATGTGTCCGTTTGGACTAAGGGTTCGTTTGTAGCTACCCGAATCCGGATCTGGGATGATTTTATCTCGTTCTCTTCTTGAAGCCATATACGACGCCTTTGATTGGCTCCTAAAAGCAAATGCAGAAATTATAAATAAGCCAAACGAGTCCATTTTAAAAAAAGTTTTTAAACTAAACGTGCAGATCAGATGGTAAGTTGTTATCAATGTATCGATAATGTGTTTGAGATAGGTAATTTTTAATCTGAAAACACACACGCTTATCTCCTTTAGATTATATTCGAAATTAATATTATACCGGAAAGTCAAATGGTATATAAAATTGAAAATTCAGCGAATTTATCTTAAAATTTCAATAAAAAATAACTAAGGAATAACTTAATCATATTCTAGTTATCTTTAATAACAACCTATATAATCTTATAGCGTTAAAATTTTTTGGTAGAATTTTTCTTTAATTGGCAACGTATTTATTGATGATGTAATCGTTAATTCATCAACATACTTCCGACGTACCGTCAAGCCTCGAATTTATAAATTCATAACATAACCCGTGTTAATGGATGACTGTGTCAGCTGCTTTCAATCAGAATGTGCGGTCGTTTTGATTGAAAGTAGCTCGAAATCGTGTCAGTGGATCGGCTCTTTGTTCAAGTCGCAGGCACGTATTTAATTAACAACTCTCCAGTTTTACGTTAGAACCATATTGATCTTTGCGCACTTAGATAAATACAATGGCCAACAAAAGGATTCGTTTCAGATAATGATTTCGGTTCATCATTTTCGTTTCACCAATGTACAATCATAGTTGTGCACATCGATTGCCGCATTTCCTATTATTGGCGGATTGTTGTTATTTATCTGGATTGTTGTAAATTCTCTGCATGGCTAACGATACTCGAGGAAGATTACGGAGTTCTCACCAACAAGAGAGTAAACAAGACTTTCTTGACTCTCTTTTGAGTTATGTGTTTATTTTTGATCATCGTGGATCAAACTAATAATAGACCCACCCTAAAGAAATTTTTGTGATGTCTTGGAATATTAATAAATAAATTGGAAAAATCCTAAATTGAGTATAATATTCTAATTAAAGTAATAGATTTTAAATTTAGTACGGCATTATACTTGTCATAAATGTACGTAAACCTCTAAAACTTGTTTAAATCCTTTTCGTTTTACGGAACATCATGAACGCATAAAACATTTTCTTACAAAGCAGGAGGTCAAAATCTGTTGGAATATGAGCGTAGTCGTCGAGATTACTCGTCGGCGGTACTTTCCACGATCCGCTAACTAGTAAGGAATGCCAATTTAATTGAAATGGCGGCGTCGCAAACATGATATCAACTACCACTTGGCCCTAAATTTTTATATCTTGATATTAAATCGCGAGTTTAAGTGAAAAGTTGACCGTTCTGAATTAAAGTTTTGTTCCATTTTAGTTCACTTGGTATAAAAACATAAAAATAAAATAGGCGAATACCAAAAATCAATTAACCCATACAGTTAATCTGTACTTTTTATTTTGTCAAAAAAAATTAGAATTCATAAAAAACAAAAGAAGAAAAGCTATAACTGAATTTTAACAAATTTTACTTTCCATTCGATTCGGGTCACGATCCTCCCACGATTCTTCAAACGTCGTCAAATTCCACACACACATGTCGAAGAATAACACGAGTTCGTCGTGTGACAGATGACTTCTTTAACAAACGACTCGGGTACATTGAGACCTCTTCAACGAACAAAAATAATTACACGCGACGTTTAGGATCATTAGAGGTACCTGTAGTATAATTTCTACTTACTTTCACGACTACAATACAAAACAACGGCAAAAATATCGCGTGCGACCACCAAAAAATAATCATAATTATGTTTCACTCTTACATCAAAATCTATTTTTAATTACACCTAAAATAACCACGTATAGAAGAGATAAATATTTAAAAATCTAGAAACATTTTTATTCCAAATTAAAAAAATATATACAAAATATATGTGGATGAACAACTAGATTTTTCAAAAGGAACGCTTTCCTTCTCGAAAATTATTAAGTAATAATAAATAAAGTCGATTAAGTTAACTTCTTATTTTATACATTGGTGTTTCCGACCTATGCTAAAACATATTTTCTCCCCAGAAGTTTCAACCACTCGTAGTTATCTCTACGAAGTTAACCTGGGGGCTTTATCAAATGATTGGTAGATTTTAATACCATCTAAATCTCAATCCGACAGTTTTTTTATTTAGGTTCGTCTATTATCAACGATGACAGATTTAAGTTGGATTAAGCGTATTAATAATCAAGAACAACCAACAAGACGTAACAGTGTTAATTTTTTACAATGGTAATTACCACCAATGGGACTTACGTAATGGTACTTTCTAACTGTGAGCTACGTTTACACCGATTTAATTCGGAGGCAAAGTTGTGCAATAAACCGTTTAGTAATTCCACCACCTCGTAATGCAGGTGTATATTCATATTCTTTTTTTTTTTCGATGATGAAGTTACTATCGCTGCTAAAATTGTTCGTCGTCTATAAAGTGCGATGAAAGCTTCGCGCTGCGAACGAAACGAACGGTATCATTAAAGTGCACTTTCGCGGATACTTTATCAAATTGGTTTCGGACCGGAACATGTCGAGGACATAGTTGCATTAACGATAGAAAGTTTAAAAGATTAGGTTGTAGTTAGAGCACGGGATGTTTTTCCTAATTCGGTGACATGTAAGTTTATTTAAAATCAATAGTAATAATAGCCAGGCAACTTTCCTCTCGACTGGATTTCTATTTTAGCGGGCGAAATGTTGATTGTCCAAAAGTTTCATCAATTGCTCAATAGATAGTGAATATTGAGTGTATTTACAAACTTGCCTTGCAACACATTTACCTTTAATTTTTGTTTCGACTAATTAAATATCATTGGATATACCGGGTGTCTCATTAAGGGTACAGAGCGGTGTGTCTGAGTCGAGTGTATCTCGACAACGGTAAAGCCTAGAAGTATGGCAAAAAAATCATTATTGGCAAGGATACATAAAAGACTGTTTTAAACAAGACCAAAAATACGAGTCCAATGATAATCAAATATTGGTCAATTAATTTTTATAATATTAATTAATAAAAATTCGTGTAAAATGCCGCGCCCGCAACTTTTCAGGCGGGTAATTAACGACCCCGCCAATGTGTTAACTATAAATGAGTTAAGAGCACTTGCATTGTCTGTACACATTAAGCCGACTGCTATTGCATAATTCACCTATTCTTATAAAATCAGCTACTACAAAATTAGTTCTTTTTAACTAAACTTCTTTGAGCTATAATACCTTATAAAATGTAACTAATTTTTGTAAACGACTTATCACATTTACTGAACATTGTCAACAATACCTGTAGACTAATTAGAATACACAACTTGAGCTCACAAATCACAATTGCGTTTTTACTATTTAGATAGAATATATCAAAATTTGATTTACCGTGTAGAAATTTGATAACAAGCATAACATTATTCTAATTGGCTTTGATTGGATTTGCAATTTTTAGAGACAGATCAATGTTATGTCGAGAGTTGCTATTTTCAGATATACTAAAGATTAAAATCAACTAAGCCATTATCAACATAAATAGCAAAAATTAATTTTTTATTAACAGGAACATTATGTCAACTTAGTTGTTTCAATTTTGCGACATATGAAGCAATGTTCATAGCAGAATCTTGATGCAATTTAACCATCAGCACATTTAACCAATCAATGCAGATTTGTTCATAAACACTAGCATTAAGTAATTTTCTAACTTCATTTTTAACTGAAATGACATATTTGATCTATATAAAATTCGATGGGGAAACAAGTAAGTTTAAAAATATTTGTATTCACTTTCAGAGTGCTAAGATAATATCGTCTGGAACCATAACCGTTACAGTAAAATGTGGAACAAGAGGACATGTAGGGACAAGTAGAACTATTTGTTGTTAACTTTCTCGCATACACGAAGCACAAATAAAAAGAAAAGATATTTCGAGGACCCCTGTATCAATTTTGAATATTTTCAGCATATAAAATGTTTCCCAACACTTGAGCACATTCATGTCTGTGTGAAAGCATCATTTCAACAAAAATTACCAATCACCGGTAAGGTACACAAAAAAAATTTAATTCGCTTACAATGCCCGGCGTTATTTTCTATCATTAAGACAATTAGAGTCTTGCACAATTTCGAAAGAAGAAAGAAAGTTTCTGAACAAAATTAGGACTCGTCGTGAGGCCATCTTGAACATAAAGCCCATTATTCTTTATTTTAATGTGAGAAATTTTAATGTGTATTTTAACGCACCATGAGCCTCCAAGAAGAAAGAAGTTATTTATACTAGATTTCCAAACTTTATAGATATGGTTAGTTTAAGATACATTGGTAAATTAAAACACGAAAGATGTACGTACAATGTCTGTTTTCTACGCAACGCTACGCAATTAAGGGCGTAGTTTTCTTCAAACGGGTTCATATCATTTAAAACCTATTCTACCAAACCAAAAAATTTATGATTAATATCAATAGCTTAATTAGAAGAGGTATTCATGACTTGGCCGCCTTTTCAACCTAAAAACGATAGAAAAATGCAATTATTACCGAGCCAACGTTATAATAAAACTAGATAATTGGTTATTTCAACATCTAAACAGTTACATATAAATAATATTAAGTAAAGATTATATTTAATAAGATCGTTTTTGTCATTCATGTCTTAAAAAGCCTTCTTTAATCTGCAATCTGTGATATTTTCGTCAGAATCGAACATGATATCTTTGAGATTTTTACTACAAAATTCCAATTGTTTATTCTAATTGCACTTTTTCAATCATGTTTCAGTTGGCTCTAATATTTAGGTGAACAGGTCGTATTTGGTAAGTTTTATAGATACCTACTTAAGTAAATTTATGTCGATATAAAATAAAAAAGTTGAAAATCAATTTTGAATTGAAAAACGTCTGTAACTACCGCTGCGGAACAATGCGTGCATATGAATAATGAAAAAGAACCGCTTCGGCAATACGGGAACTATATCCATTCATATCCAAGAGAGCCCGTTAAACCACG